TTTCCCTACAAACTTTTTTCAAAAAAGGAGGCTTTTAGATAAAAAAAAAGAAATCAGGGGGGAAGATCTTGTTGCATTACTGTTGACAAGATATTTTCTTCAGAGACTCAAAGAGTTTTCTATCAATGCATATTAGCCTGAAAAGTTCTGGAAGTTTGGACACTTTTGAAACACGAGATGTGTTGGATTCTGAGATAAGAGACTTCCCATCAGTACAATTCCAAGAAAAGCGCATGAGTCCATATATTAATTAGAATAATCCATCAAAAGCACTCACTGTAGCAGAGTCTAATGATGGCAACGTAAAGTTTTAACCGTCACTGTTGCTTAAACTGTTGAACGATGGTGTAAGTATCACTAAACATGCTGTTCGGGAGATTATTTTGAGCCATAGCTAAATGTCTTTTGTATGGCAAATAAACAGCCTATTGCTTGTTAAATGAGTCAGAACTACAAGTAACCGAAATGAGTGTACAAGTGAATGGGACTCATTCGGTGAATGACTGGAAAATAGGCCATGACACAACACATTCAAAACAACATCAGGAGCTCTTAGATAACACAGACAAAAGACTTTTCAGTGCTCTTCACAACATTTGCAGCTTGAAAGATTGAATATAAACATCATTTTTGGCACAAAAGAAAGCGGGAACGGTGCTTTAGAACTCTCTGGAGTAAAGTTTAATCCAAGAATTTTACATCGTTTTTGTGAATAACAATGGAAACTTAGCCCGTCAGCGATGACGGCAACAGCGAAGGATACGGCACCCCATGAAAGCTTGGGGTAGAAAGAGAAGAAAATCAAAGCCCATGATGAGGTAGATTGGTGTTTAGCATTTCCCCTAACATGACATGCCCATTAAAGATTAAGGCTAAAGAGACAGGCGAGGCTAATGGGAAGCGACGCAGCGTTTTAAGCCTCGGCCATGATGAGTTACATCCCTCAGCAGCAGCACGGCTGCGATGACATGTTGACTGCCCTTGATTCAGGCGAATCCTTCACGGAGTCGGCCACGACCGCCGCGAATCCCCAGCATACATCCAGTGCGGGCCTTGAAGCACAACTAACCTTTAGTAGGATTAATGTTACAGAGATTAAAACACACTTGAGTGTACATTTTTCTTCTACTTCTTGCCGCCCTTGCTTTCATTACTGAGTATTTTATGTAATCTTGTCTTCGGGGCTTATCCTACGATTACCAGCTGTATTTGATTCGAGATATACGCTTGTAATGAACTCAAGTCTAGAGAGACGTCTTTAGAGTTTGCAACATTTTTGTGCAACATAACTTAATTTCTTATGCATATCAGGTAAAACCTGTTAGGTTTTGCTTTTTATACTAAAAAGCTGTGCCTTGTGACTGAGCATGTATTAGGCAACGTTAACGAATAGTTGACCCATTATTTATTCACCCTCATGCCATTCAAACCTGTAAGCTGTTGTTTCTTTTGAACATATCATTTTCCCATAGATTTGTTTCCCATACAACAGTTCGCAGTGACCGCAGCGGGAAAGCAACAACAAATCAACATAAAAACAACAGAACGATTATCATTGAATATTAACTGAGATGTTGGTCAGTTCATTTAAATGTAGCTAACATTTAACAGTGGAGAAAGGCCACGCCTCAACTAATCAGCCCGTTCCCCGTCTGTATATACACTGAACCCACCTTCACCGCACCGTTTGCCTCTGTTTCTGGACATGAATCCCAAAGTAGATCGAAATATATAATTTAAAGCCCTTCTCTTTTTTACTTTTATATGTAACAGCTTAACTGCCTTACAGTAATGTTAACATCATTCACGTTAACCGCAGGACGTTTTTTGTAAACAGCAAGTAATTTGCGACTATCCCCACCTAATGCAAAACCGGCTTCTGACGCAGCACCGGATGTAACTGGGCGGGCTGAGACAAACCCGGAAGTGATCGCGCATAGAGCCTATTCCTCTGTCATCGCTTCAGTGAACCTCACGCTGCTTGTGAGCAACAAGGATCAGCTGATCGTCATCAGATTTGAAAGTAACTGCTCCCTTCAATAGCTTCAGCTGTTTGTTCGGCTCTGCGTTACAAGGTTTGTAAACTTCCCAAAGAATAATAAATACAGAGTCTACTCACTATATATTGAAACACATACAAACTAAATTAATTTTAATTTATTTATCGTGTTTATTCAATATATTCTGTCTTCAAATTGCTGATATAACTATTTAATTCACCCAAAAATGAAAATTAAGTAATTATTTACTCACCCCCATGCTGTACCAACCCCGTAAGACCTCCGTTCATCTTCGGAACACAAATTAAGATATATTTGATTAAATTTGAGAGGTGGATCACTCCTCCATAGGCTGCCGAAGGGACTGAAACTTGACGGCCCAGAAAGTTATTGAAGAAAATGTTTAAATATTCCATGTGACTACAATGGCTCAAGTATAAGTTTATCAAGCGACAAGAATACTTTTTGTGCGAAAAAACAAACAAAAATAACGACTTTATTCGACTATTCCTTTTCTTCCTTGTAGGCCTGAGACAAGAGTTCAAGAGATTTCCACAACGCATGCGCGAGAACTGCGTTCTTATTCTACTACTTATTGTTCAGTTCTTCAAAACTTAACTTAAGTGAAGATTACTCATGCCCATTCCTACCAAAACATCAGGGCATCCTCCATTCAGACTTACCTATCCGGAATCAACTTTATCTACAAACTCGCCACTGGTGACCAATGCCACTCCGATGCCACATTAGAGGTCTACGAAAACAAGAACCAGTCCTCACCATTAAACGCTTGCCTGTAACCTCTGACCTCCTGAGCCGATGCAAACATTACTTTCTGGCTATATGAGCCCTTCGATCGACCAAACGTTAGAATGCATGTTCTTTCTCTCATTCTTCGGCTTCCTGAGATGCTCGGAATTTGCCCCGTTGACTTCAATCCACCCATTCATCCATTCAGCTCACATGCCAGATTCTCTGATATCCTAAATAGAAGCAAAACCGACCAATTTGGAGAATCCTCTCCAATCTACATTTTTCGCCTCAACTCCTTCCACTTTCGGAATACGTTCTTTCCAGATACGCCAACCATTCATCTCCTCAAGAACCACTTATCCTCGCAGAAAACAAGACAAAAAACTAAAAATGCCACGAGATTCTCGTTTAACAAACGCTTCCAAAATATTCACAGGACCTCTGGCATATCTCCCGAACATTACTCCATACAGTTCTTCTGGAACCGAGCAGCCACCACAGTCGCAAGCATGGGCAATCAGTGTCCTAGGCCGCTGGTCATACGAAGCATACCGCTTATATAGCCGTAACAATCTTAACAATCTCTGTCAAGCTCAAGCCCGCATCGGCTCATCCAAACCTTTGAGGGTCTTCAAGTAACTCAGCTTACTATCTATCGAGACGAAGCCCCCACTCCGAGTCTCCCTGGACTAGACTCCCTGATCACCCAGACGAAGAATCGTCACATCCTTTCCCCATCCCTTTCGACCTTTCGGTCTTAATTCCATAATGCTAATTCTGCATAGTTGTGGCATAGTGAAAGCTTTATCAAAGCTTCAGAAGGTTTACTGTATAATATAGCTTATTTGGATGAGCTTTATAGTGCCTTAAATGCTAATTAAATGTATAGAAAACCATACAAAAGAAATATTGTTTCCCTCATCTTTTTGACGACTAAATGACTAAAGACAAACAACGGACAATATTTTTGAGTTCAAATTTTTATAACTTTATATTATTTATTATTATTAAAATATTTTTTAAAATTTAAAATTAAAACGATTTACATGGGGGCAAACTATTCCTTTAAACTTAGAATCCTTTATTTAGTTTTCAGATTTATCTGTGCTTCTGCTTTTTTAGTAGTGCATAAACCTACAATTTCTCTTAAAAGCAAAAGCCCTTCAACTAGAATACAATTTTTCTATATATTTTTTTTTCCCAAGACATGCATACTGACCCTTCTAAATGAGGTTAGCACACCTGAATCCTGGAGTGTTGCTTAAGCCCTTAATGGCCTTGTAGACACACAGAGAGACCAGATGAGACTAGTGTCTATGTACATATTTGCAGAGAGCGCTGGATGGCAGGGTGATTGAGTTAACATCGCCATTGTTTGAAATGTCACCATCTGCCTCACAACAGCTCATCCCCAATCAATTTAAAATGAATACTGTTTCCTCTCCCTCCAAATCTAGTTCTTCATTATAGATCGGCCTAATGAGCTGACGATCTTGGGCAGACACTGGACATTTTCTGATAACGATCATGACATTTGGCCTCTAAGAATGACATTTGGCCTCCCTCTCTCTCTCTCTCTCTCTCTCATATATATATCATAAAATAGGTTGATTGAACTTAGCTCACAAAATTGGCAGGGGACCAACTGTAATTTGCAAAATAAATAAATAAAAACAAATGGCTTGTGATAAGTCAAAAGCTTAACGCAATGCATTTGTAAGTGTTTTCTGGGTGTGCAAAGAATTGCAAAGGTTTTCTGTAAAAGAGAACATTTATTTGAATGAAAGTTTGATTCCATTTGCACATCATCAAATGAACTCCAACCAGATCACATTTATAGTTGAACACATTCAAAACACGGGAACAATAATAGCGAATGTACATATTTCAAGAATATTTAGTCATCATTGTGGTGTATAAATATTTGGTACAAAATTTCACAAGATATAAAGTAAAGTAGTACATGGACATAATCTACTCTCCAATTCACTGGTACAAAGCACCGTTCATTAAACCAAGTTTTTACAGCATGAGTAACCATCTTTTTCCTTTTCATTTTTCTTTTTTACAGCATATCAATGACAAATAATGGAAATTCTGCTTCTAAAACACAAATATTTATCAGCTCCAGCACGAGCTGACTCACCCCCTCCTAAGCGAAGAGGTGAAGGCAATCTCAAGGCTCATTTTCTAGTTTGAAGAGAGGGCGCAATCATTGCAGAGTGATTTACTTCAAGATTTGACTCGCACCTCAATACAACACTGTTGTGGTTAACATTCAGCCAAGGAATAAATCAGTTGAGCTTTTATTACTTCCCTGGCTATTCTTTTGCAGTATGTCATTAAGGGACCACGTGGAAGTGTCTCTCACAAGAAGAAAGTCATACTAAGCAGTTCTGAGTTCAACCAAACGCTAGTCAGACTGCTAAAAGAAGAAGAAACACATTTAGGTCCAATGACATAGCAGATAATTGTAAGCTTCTGGCATTTTTTTTTTTTTTTTTTTTCATGTGGATGATGAAAACCAGTGCCAACCATGAAACATCTCCTGACCCATTTTCTAGACGGGTTTCACACAACCAGTCTTGATTCCGAGTTACAGGACAACACATATTTTCTTGACTGTGTAAGTAGATTAATAAAATTATGCAAATGGTTAATAGTAAGAGTTTGAAAATTCATCCCAGTCAGATGTTGAACTGTTTGGTTCTAAGCCACCCGCAACACAGTGAGGTCTGATGGTGAATTCACAGGCCCGAGTTTACTTTCATAAAGTACTCAACCTCGGCCTTTTAGTCAATGACCTGCTCAAGTTCACTTCAAATGTTTCAGAGGCTCAATGTCAACTGATAAACTGTTCTTTGCAGCAGTATTTGAACAGAGTTTCCGCATCTGATGCTTGGCTTTTCAGTGATGGTTACAGATATGAAAGACCGTAGACCCTTCCAGAACAATCAATCTGGGATTATGCAGAAAAAATGTCACCACAGATGATCTTTCTGATGAGAAGTCCGCAGACAGATACGTCCTCCTCACCGAGCATGAAGTTAGTCTCATCTTTTGAGAAAACGCACAGCCAGTGACGACAGAGAAACCGGCTGCCTGATTGTAGGACACAGAGAAGGAGAAAAGGGCACTTTGTAAAAGAAATTAGGCTGCCTCATTCTGGCACTCCAGTCTTCATGTAGAGGCAGATCAACAAATGAGTCTTGTTCTGCAGTCTGTCCATTAGGAGTCCCAGTCACTGTCCTCCCCGCCATACATGTCTGCTAGCTTCCTGAAGCGTGGCCCCCACTCGCTGAGGTAGTTATAGTCCTGCGCCCCCTCCGAGGACACGGACCCCAGTGAGCTGAGCGACTCGGCCACCGATCCGTTACCTTCGTACGCGTAGGTGGCCAACGAGTCATAAGGAGGAGCCGTGGGGTTGCCGTCATTTTCCTGCACGCGCTGGTTGATAAAGTCCAGCACGTCTGTGTTCTCTCGGGACGGCACAATGGTCCTACGGAGCGGCGGCGGGGGGTAGAGTGACTCGGAGGGAAGGATGTCCCGACGCATTTTGCTGTCCTCCATCGCTTCCGGATGCCGAAGGGCTCCGATGTCAAAGGCCTGTGTGTCCTCCTCGCCGCCACCCTCATCATTGTAGCTGACGACATTGTCCCTCACGTCCTCCTTGGAGATGATCAGGGGCTCTTTCTTCTTCTGACGTTTCAGGGCAGCAAAGAGTACTACGATCACTACAGAACAAGAGAGAAAAAAGTCAACATTAGTTAAGTACTTGAATGAAAAAGATTGACAAAGGTTTGTCAGTTCGATTTTTTTAAAAAGAAATTCATACTATCATTCTACAAGGACGGATCCGAACTTTCTATTCATCAAAGAATCTTGTAAAAAAGTTTCACATTTTCCACAAAAATATTAAGCATCACAAGTGAAAAACTGTTTTCAATATTGATAATAACAAGAAATGTTTCTTGAGCAGCAAATCAGCATATTATAATGATTTCTGAAGGATTATGTGACACTGAAGACTGGAGTAATGATGCTGAAAATTCGTCTTAGCAGTCTAGTTTCCTGTGGTTGAGTTTGGTTCCCTTGGTTTTTCTGACATGGACTAATTATGATCTGAAAGTGTTCTCTATTTCATTGATAGTTTTACTAGTAACTTAAACCCGAGTTCATTGTCCATTCTACAAGTTTTTGTATCCAGTATTTTGAATTGTTATTTATATATTTATATTTATATATTTATTTTGAGTTTGTTTTCATTAAACATTCACTGCTTGCAATCAAATCCAGCCTTTTATTGTATCGCATTTGCAACCAGCACTGGCAACATTTTAAAGATATTGAAAATCAAATTATAGTTATTAAATAGTAATAATATTTCACCATATATTACTGTTTTTCCTGTATTTTTGATTTAAAAAAAAAAAAAAAAAAGCCTTGGTAAGTGTTAGATATAGCCTGAATGCCAGCCCGAACCCCGCCCACAACATTTTTTGGTCGGGAAGTTCGGTCTGACTCGATCATGATCGGTTGAAAAATCGTTGGGCCAATCAAATTGCCAGGGTGGGCTTTATACGATGATGGACAGATGATCTGCAGTTACGTAATCATCACTTTATCAAATAGCGCTTGGGTTGAACTGGTTTCCCTCAAAGATGACTGCAGCTGTAGAATTGAGATGTATAGATTTCGCTATCGCGTCCTTTGTAAAAGAAATCAACATTAAGCACATTGATTTTAAAAGCCAAATTGTAAAAAGCCATCCTTCCTACAGGATTAGGCAAAAGTTTAATTTATCAGCTGGCTCCGATGGCCGCTAAGAAGATGGAACACAATGAAAACCCTGTGGTTTCTACTTTGGTCGCACACTTGCACTCATGGAGGACCAAGTAAAAGAATCAAAACTCATTGTTTTACTAACTCCAGCGTGCATGCTTTTGAGTTCTGTTGACAACTATGATGGTACAACTATGATTGTACATTTTGTAAATTTTCCTTTATATCCTTGCAGTAGAAATTCTTCAAATGATCATTAGAAACAACCATATTTCTAGATGTGTTGTGTAGTAATGTATGCTTTCGGCATTTAAAGAGGTGATTCAGATAGCATGTGGTAATTAACCACACTATCAGTGGGAGCAATTCATTTTCCAGTAAATCCCCCCTTATTACCATTTGGTTGCTTTTATCAGTGATCTTTCACTGCAATAGAGTAGGAAGAGTTTCATACATGATGCATTACTCTGTGGGTGACACCTACTGTAGGTTACTGCACACAAATCACAGGTGAGAACTATGAGTAGCTGATGTTAAAGGAACACCCCGACTTTCGTGACTTTAGCTTATTCACTATATCCCCCTTATAGTTAGAAAAGTCTAAACATACCCTTTTCATCTCTGGGAGTACTCTCATATCGTCATCTCATACGTCTCATATGACCTTGTTATTTATACACACTGTGACTATTATGCAAATCACAACATACAAATAGGAAAATGTTGGCGTTATTTTGTCACTTATTGCAGGGCTCTCAAGTTTTGAAGCAACTTGGTCATGGAGATGGGTGTGTGTCATTAATAGTATTATTATTAGTGTTTATGTTGTTATTAATAATGGCTCAGAATTGCAGAAGAAAATAGGATATAATTATAAAATATGACATGATTTTAAAACTATAACATCAATTATGCAATTCACTTTAATTCATTTAGTGCTAATAAAATTATTAAGCCAATTTGGAGAGAGAGATGTTTATAATGTGCAAATATATCAGTCATCGTGTGATAATGTAAATATGACTAGGCCTTGACTACTTGGTCTGAGCAGGTCTTGTTAGTGAACAGGCTGTAAAACTGTTGGCTAAGTTACAGACACTCATGAAAAACTGATACTAATTATCTGGGAATCATTCTCTAACAGCAAGCAAGTTGTCTTTGTTTGTGTCAAACAAGTTGTGAATTTGTTGTAACATTAAAACAGGAGATGATGACTTACTCTCTGCTCAAAGTGATGCTCGAAGCTCCGGTGCTTTCCTCTGTGGGTAAACTAAACTTTCGGAAGATGTTGTAGCAGAATCTCGTGAACAATTCCAGGGATATGCTTTTTTGTCATTGGTTTTTGCGTTAAATCGTACCCAGATACAATAGAAAAGTTTTCTGATAGGCTATTGTGAAGCCCCTTTCTTTTCTTTTCTTTTTTTGATTGGGCAGGCTCAACTAAGAACTCTAGGGTTTTTCCCACAGTTTTCAAAGCGTGACACTTGAGAGCACTGCTTATTGGGAGCAGTAGGCTAGCTGGAGCCAGTTACTTCTAGTATTTGTGCTAAGCTATAGGCTAACGGTGGGTGTGTCAGACAGAATTACAGCACGCACAGAGATGAAAAGGGTATGTATGGACTTATTTAACTCTGGGGGATACGGCGAATAAGCTAAAGTCCCAAAAAGTCGGCGTATTCCTTTAACAGATAGAAAGACTCTATTAAGCAAGCTTTTCATTAGCAATTCAAATGATAAATTGATCAATTACACATGCATGTTTGTTATATGACAAGTGTTTCAATTAAAATTAAGCCTAGAACTTAAATGTGATATTGCATTTTTTTGTTGAATCAAAACAAGACTGGATTCATTTTCATTTAATTGAAAAGTAGCCCTTGTTATTCAGTTTCCTGATTAAATAACCAACAACAAGTTTTATCAGTTCAGCCATCTGAGCATGTCAGAAACGGTTTCCTTTATTTTCTTTTTTCCCCTAATTGCTAATTATTTTACATGCAGATCAGGCGTACACACTTCAAACCACTGGAATTGTAATTAATCAAATGGCAGCGCAGACAAAAGTGCTAACTGACAGGAAGACAGGTGGGGAAATGAACTGAAACAGTCTCAGTAACAAAGGGCTTGAAAGATGAACAGTCAGATGGATTCACAGATGGGGGGAGCGGGCATCAGACAGATGGACATATGAGAAGTGATCTGATTGTCAAAGGAGAGAACTGAAGGCTACTTACAGAGCAGGATGAGGATGCAGAGTAGGATGGCCACCAGCGCCCCCGTGCTGAGCCCCGCAGAGCTGGTCAGAGCCTCTGCATTGCACATCTCCATGTTGCCATCTCGGTCACACGTGCACACCCGAACTGTGAGTGTGCCCGTGCTGCTCTGCATTGGAAAAGTTCCATCTGAGATCACCACCGCCACTAGATGGGTGCTCTTGTGCATTCGGCCAAATCCGGAGCGTCGTGTAAAGATTCCAGCTGTGTTATCTGTGGAGAGTTGAGCGCTTAGTTGATTAACCCTTAAACGCATACAGCTAGTCTTTTTCGACCCAGGGCATTATTCACTAACCTCTCCCTCATTCATTTTTTTTTTTTTTAAGTTAGACATCCACCTTCTTAGTATTCCTCAATTGACTCATTTTAAACAATGCATATATATATATATATATATATATATATATATATATATATTTTTTTTTTATAAAAGAATAACTGTTTTCATTTTTGTAAAAAGTGTACAGGGTCGCTACTAGGGGACCAATGAATCTCTGATGACAAATAAGTGCAATTCACCTTTTTTCCTCAAGGTGGCAATTTCTGTTACACAGTGATGACGTGATGTTTCACAGACATAAAAACAAAAGAATACACAAATATAATAAGCAAAACTTTAAATGGTTTATTAATTTATTTCAGAGCAAGTTCTGTACGCAGTCAATTAGATGTCACTGTCACTTGATGGTGGATCTGGTGGGGAAGCTTTCAGTTTTGAAGACCTTGAAAATTATAGTTTTGAGAGTTGAGATCTCAAATAAACCCTTCCAAGTTAAAAGGTAACGAACTCTCCTTTTTTTCAGGAGAGTTTTATTAGAGACCGGGCAGTTAAAGATCGCAAGATGCAAATATGTATTAATGATTGGCGAAACACGTATGCAAAAATATATTATAATATACAAAATAGTTGGGCCATTATTACCTAAAATTGTGTCAATTAATGCCGGTTGTCTGTTGGTCTCACTACTTGTGATGGACAAGTATTTTGTTGATGGACATCTGGCCAATCAGAGTAGAGTAGGCTTTCGGGGAAGGAGGGTTTAGAGAGACTGAATCTTAGAACGAGTCGTTTGAGAATCTTTGAAAAATGTGGTGATATGCAATTTGACCTTTCATGCATGTAAATCTGATCTAGGAGACCTCTAAAACAAAATTAGGAACCTTTAAAATGGCATAATAGGGGCACTTTAAGTAACGAGACAACTGTCCTTTCTGCAGACCACAACAGGCCTAGAACGACCTAAAGTTATGGCTCCTGCAAAACAACATGGCTCAGCTTTAAACAGCTAGATGTGAAAAGGCCATGTGTCCTAAAGATTTCTCCTGTTTGAATGGTCTGTGTTGTCATGAAGAGAGACAGTGAGCTAGTTAGAGGGCCAGATGATGTGAGAGGGCACCCACCTCCATTATCTCGGACTGAGAAGTTTGCTCGCACTGAGCTCTCTGGTGCCAAGGAGAACAAGAAGCGATGTCCACCAACTGGGTCATCTAGATCCACTGCACTTATTGTCTGGATTTTCTGTCAGAAAAAAAAAAAAAGCATTATATTTGAAATTAAAATCATATTAGTTTTTATCATCACTGTTATCTATTTAACAAATTTGTTTTAAGATGTTGCCATTTTTGTCAACTTCTAATATCAAAACGTGACATTTTCAATAAAGAAGTATTTGTGTTTTTTTCTTAATTTTTCATTTCAATTAATCTTTTCTCACACTCAAATAATGATATGCATGGATCAAACAAAAAATCTATTTTTTTCTATTATCTTTTTCAAAAGCATCAAACAAAAATAAACATATAAACAATAAATTACACGAGCAGTTTAGTTACATGATTATGTTTTTATTTATTGTAGCAAAAAATGAATATCCTTTTTAATTCAAATCTTTTTTTCTTTTCTTTTTTTCAAACAAAACGTGCATTCTTTAACACACACACACACACACACACACACACAGAGAGAGAGAGAGAGAGAGAGAGAGAGAGAGAGAGAGAGAGAGAGAGAGAGAGAGAGAGAGAGAGAGAGAGTATACGATATTAAAACAAGTTTATCCTGTTAGTTTTATTGTAGTCTGAATTTAGATAACGTTAGCAATGGCTAACTTCTGCTATCCTGTTAAGCCTTTTGTTAATTATCTTGACATTATGTAAATTGTGTGAAGTTATAATTAATAACATTTAATTGCATGAGCTTGACAGACACTTATTCTTGTAAGTAACTACTTAAAAAAAAACAAAGCATGTTAATTCATTTTTATTTAACTTACAAAGCTGGAAAGGTACTGCATAATCGGAATGACCTATTCACAACGTCATTTTTCAGACCATACAAGTGTTTACATGTAAACACTATAAGTATGTTTACAGCAAGAAAAGATGTTGGCTCAGTGATAGAGGCGCATGGTTATCTTTAGTTGTCACCAAGGGCAATTTTAGTTTAAATGCATCTCTCAAGGGTGCACTGGCAACACGCTGTGACAAAAATGTAATCATCCATTGTGTGCCTCATGATTTTTTTTTCTCTACCAGGCTTACGCACTGGCCAGATTTCTTGCTTGCGTGTTGCTGGCTGGCTTCCCTTTCCTCTGGGCTTTACTTCAGTCTGTTAGAATATAACTGCTGAATAGAATCAAAATCCCAGCAGTATCCCACACTGCCGTCACTGATATATAGCTAATAAACAAACTAATTAATGATTGTTTAATTTCATCATGCAAGTAACAGAATTTCCCCCAAGTCTCTTTTACCTAAATGAAATTATTACAATCATTATAACATTTTTATAAATGTAATTGATAGCATATTCACTTTTTCTTACAAAATTGTGTGAAATAAAAAAAAAAAAATAATTATGTGATTTTGCTTCACAGGTAAAATGAGAAAGATATTTTGATATTTTTACTGGAAAAAGAGCAAAATACTTTTGTATTATGCATATGCATTATGTATTATTATGCATACACATAGTCTTTGTTCTTTTTGTACCCAACAACTAAACCAAGGCAAACACCAGGTTGAACAATTCTGCCAGGCGCTGAGGTGGGCGGGTCAGTGAGGTGGGTGATGACGGACAACGAGGGATACAAGAAGAGTCAGGAAATGGAGGAGAGGTGGACAGTTATTATGAAGTGCCTGTGATATGTGACAGCCCCTGTCATCCACCATGACACATAATCTCATCAAGCCTGACAGAAAAAGGCTCTGCCGTCTAATCCATGAAGGAGAAATACTCATCACTGATCTCTATCTCGCTCTGGAGGTGTGATTTCTGTAGAGGTCACACACTGTTTAACAGACGCCCCTGCTTTAAATCAACACATCCGTCCAGCGGCCGAACAGGAGAAGTGGACTTATTCCTCCTTATCTTACATCGAAATTGACAATGTGGCAGATAAATGGGAAACATATACTAAAATGCTCTTTACCTGTCCGACTTTGGCGTTTTCACAGACGAAGGTCTCGTAGAAGGATGCCAGCATAGGGGGGTTATCGTTGACATCAAGTACGCGGATGTACACAGGCACTCGGCTGGTCTGCTCTGGGTTGTCTAAGTGTCCTTAAAAAGATGTGGCATATGATGGTTGACTACTTGAGATGATAGAAGCTCACATTATTGGAGCCACGGGAGGAAACTGGATTTCTAATTTAAAAAGTAAACTAATATATTTAGTCAATATAAGCTGTCATGGCAAATGAAAATGCGGAAATCTTACTGGAGAAATTGAATGCAGGATGACTCGAGCTTAGCAACCTAAATTCATTCCAAATGAAGTGCGGCTGCGAGCCGCGCGGAGTTACTTACTGAACTCGGTTGCGATCACTGAAATGTTGTGCCAAGCGAATTCCTCACGGTCCAGAGGCCTCTGCAGGAATATAGATCCATTCCCAGCATAAACACCAAAAACCCGGTCCACATCTGTGTGCCGATCAATTGAATACCTGCAAGTCAAACCATTCAGCTCAATTGTCACCAGTTTCAATGTGTTTGCGACAGTGTTCTTTTCAAAATAGTGTAGAGTAGTTAAACTATGATGTGACCTGTGACAAATCGGTTTGGCTCAATTATGCTCAGAGAAAATGAAAATGTGTGAAAATCATTAAAATATCACGGAAAAATGCAAGACTGTTTTGTCAGTGTTATCATTATCATTGTTTTGTATGGAGGAATAATCAGATCCACACTCCTCCCATACTTGTCCCTTTCATTCTCATATGTAGCGTTGGAAAGTCCAATTCATTCTAGCCACTGACATGACAGGTCATTATCTAGTCTCATGTAAACTTCACTTAGCCAAAGCAGCAAAGCCGACTCTGTGTTATAAATATGTTAGACCTATAACTTCTACCAATAAAGATTGCTTTATCAATAATCTTCCTAATCAGTTTCATCATCTCAGCATCCTGGGGTGCGTTTCCCGTACAACGACGTAGTTCGCTCCTTCACTACCATAGTACGATGCATCGTTGGAAAAATCAACTAGCTAGTCACGACTGTTTCCCGAAACCCACTGTCGCAAAGTATCGTTCAACCACGTTGGTTTCGCACGTGGTGGAGTAATAACTACTTTTAATGAAACTGTTTGAGATCCAATTAACGCTAGATTTATTTTTTATAAATTAGTATGTCATCTGAGGACTACTTCTAATTGTTCTCAGTTGTTTTGCTATATTACCAGACTCAATATTTGGCTCGTTCTTACATAGTAGAGCACGTTCGCACATGCGCACTCTTCAAACACGTTACTTGGATTTATTACCTCCAAATGTCATGCAATATAAAAACTATGCCTCTAACCACAGGTCGAGAGCTGTCGTTCAATCCACCCAACATTGCGATACAGTTTGCAAATTGGAACGATTGTTTCGGGAAACACAGAATCGTTAAACTATGCAGATAACGACGGAACTTGCAACCATAGTTGGCTAACGATGCTTTCGGGAAACGCACCCCTGGATAGCTTAGAAAAAGTTGATATTGTGACAGAAACTTTGAACTCTCTCTTTTCCAGCACTTTAGATGCTGCAGTTGCTCCATTGCACTTAAAGAAGATAGAGAAAATAGTTCAATGTCGTGGTACAACGAGCACACTCAGACCCTTAAGAGAGCAGCTAGAAAAAATGGAGCGTAGCTGGAAGAAAACTAAACTAAGGTATTTTGGAGTTCATGGAAGGAGAGTTCGATGTTATACAGCTGCTACATCTAATGACTATGAATTTCTTCTCTTATAAGATTGATAATATCAAGGACAAAATTGTAACTATGCAACCGTTTACTACAGTATCGCATCAGGGAGCGCATTGTAGTCTCTCTGAGGAAAAATTTTGTTGATGCAATTTTCTTCTAGAAACAAACTTTGTTGTATTATTTTCTTATCACTGTGAAGCTACTTTGATACAACCTGTATTGCAAGAACCGTTATATAAATAAAGGTGACTTGACTTGAGTTGACTAGTGAGTATCAGTAATTGAAACTATTTGATTTGAGTCCCTGTGCAAAAATCCTTGTTGGCTGTCTACGAATAAAAAAAAAAAAATGTTAACTAAAAACATTTAATTTAACTAAAAACAAACAAAATGTTAACTGAAAACAGCCTAGCTGAGTTTCCAGTGTCATAGAAAACCTGGAAATGCCAAGGAATCTTTAAATGGTGTTTTCCAGGCCTGGAAAGTCATCAAAAATCATTGCAAAAGTATTCAAATATTAAAAAAAAAATCATAGAAATCTCTACAGTGACAGTAAAACTTAATTGAAGTTTGTTGAGAAAAAAAAAGCCTAATTGTTTTGTGCCAGAAGGATGCCATCAGATAGTTACTGTATACATTTCAAAAGCTTTTGCACCATCCTGTAAGTGAGCTCTTTTTGTGAGTATCTTGTAACCCAGACAGCAAACTGACATTGAATCAACGTGGAAACGACGTCTCTCATGACATCGAAACAACGTTGATTTTGCTCATTGAATTAACGTTGAACCAACGTCAGACGCGGCATTCTTCAAAGCTAAATGAAAATCGAAAATTGGTTTGCTTTCACAACGTTGATTTCAAGTTGATTTTTCCGTTAGTTTTGAAGAATGACGCGTCTGACGTTGGTTCAACGTTAATTCGATGAGCAAAACAATGTCAGATCAACGTTGTTTCGATGTCATGTTTCCACGTTGATTCAATGTCCGTTTGCTCTCTGGGAAAGTACCGGTAAAGGGTGCATTTACTAGTCTGACTACTTTAAATTCTAATTTAACTTGTAACTTGGCCAAACAGCTCCCCCAACACTGGTTTACAAAACCATTAAGACAACTGAACCTTTAGAGCAGGAGACACGTGAGGATGCTTGATGCACACCACAGCTATAACTGCATGAAATTCCAGTGCCCTGAGCCCACACATGCCCAATTCCCATTTGTTCTTCTTTCACCAGAAGATCACAATATTGCCCTTTCAAATGTAATCAGTCAGTGGGATTGTTCAATTTCCTAATTATCCTCCTGATGTTCAGAGCGACAGTGTTGCCCGTGCTTCTGATGTCCCTGATAATTACCAGCCCTGAAGTCCTGTTCTCTGCTGCAGAGGGCTTTTTAATTGCACTTCCATTCTGCGTTCTTATTTACTGTGTTCTCCGGAGGGAAAAAAACATCCATTTATTGTCCTCCTGAGCCTTCCGTATCAGATTTATCATTATGGTGCTTTGGACAGTGATAATACCCTCGTTTATTCTCATAATTGTAGTTTATTACAATTATCTCATAAAGATGCTGCGACTGAAGGACCTCTTGAATTAAATGTGAATTTAATAAACACGCTCCGAGGAAGCAGTCCATCTAAGTTCATATTGCCGTAGCTTCAGACAGATTATTCAGGGTTTTGCAGATGTATCAAAAGGTCACAGGAAGAAACAGGCAGAGGTTTAAGTGGTTTGCAAACTACTGCCAGGCTATTGTGTGTTGGGCAATGTGCATTTAAAAAGATTTACGGTGCTCTTGTAAATCTAGATGATGAAAACAATGTGATGGGATGATATTAATGCAAAAGCCCTTACTTGACCGGACTGCGGCGTATGTCAGGATCCACGGCACTGACCGATCCTATCACTGTGCCCACAGCCGCGTCCTCTTTCACCTCCAAAATATAGCTGACTTTCTGAAATTGTGGGGGCTCATCCACATCCTCAATGCTGATCCTGACAGTTGCTATGTCCTTAGCGTCCAGGCTCAGAAATCGTGGATCTGGATGCATGTTTTGGACCTTGATCTGAAGCAAGTATGATTTCTTCTTCTCGTAGTCCAGAGGCTGCAAACACATTCACAGGAATAAACATTCCACTCCGAATTCAAAGTCGAATTGGCCCCCCTTCCCCATTTTATTCACAAACCATCATGTGTAACTATTTTAATTTGAAAAACTTGAAAATTCTGTTTTCAAACTCAAAGCATGAAAGGAAGTTTTGTTGTACCTTCTTTACGCTAAGTATGCCTTCTTGGGTCTTCCTGTCAGTGCTGATATCGAACACATCCAGACCGTCTCCGCCAACAACGGTGTAGTCCATCTCTGCGTTTCTGCCGACGTCGGCATCCACAGCCTCGATCCTCCCAACTGATGATCCTACGTTGGTGAGCTCTGGAACGCTGAACTGATATATACCTGGGGAACATAATGTTAATGTCAGGGTTTGTGCTTGAATCTGTGAATTCTCTTGTGAGAGAGTATCTACACTATGTAGTGCAACAAAAGACCATTTAGAAGAGTTTGGCAGAACAAATCTCATTTGACAATTTGCATTTGTAAAACTACATATGATCCCTGTTTCTAACACAGTAGCCAATTAAAGTGCTTTTTAAAGCCCTTTCACCTACTCTTGGTGTTCTCTTTACTGTAAAAAAAAATGGTGAACATGACTGATATTGTGCTGCCTGGAATAAATCCGCTTTGTGCTGATAGCCTGCATTCCTCTAATTAACATGACAGAAATTCCAAGAATTTTCTATTTGCATGCAGGCTAAAAGAATAGATTATTTTAAGAGAAACACAAAAGAGTAAGTGAGCTGAGCCCACTCTGTCCATTTAATCAGGATTAACACACAGACCTCACGCAGTTGCTAAAGCTTTGCCACTAACCATTTTCCTTTCCACAATGACAACAAAATATATGAAAATGAAAGTAATCTTTGGAATTATGGAACAAATGTCTTGTGCAAATATCAATTTGTTGACATATACAAATTGACATATGTATTTTCTATCTATTAAATGCATGCTTACTCTGTGTGAAATGAGGGGGGTTGTCATTCACATCAGTGAGGCTGATGTTTACTGTGGTGCTGCCTGTTAAGCCCCCCTTCTGGCCGGCCATGTCCTTGGCTTCGATCACCACCTGGTAGTGCTCCCTCTGCTCTCTGTCCATATCGGAAGGTCCCAAAGCTGTCCGGATTATACCTGAGGAAAAAGATGACTTAGTTCATTAACGTCCAATCTAGCCCAGTTCCTTACTCTAGGAGATGGACGACACCAGACCTCAGTTGCAGCTGAGTCTTTGTTGTGTTTGAACAGTACACTAATTGCGTACATGCACTGAGACTGACATTTTGCCGCAGAGATTATTACAGGCAGCAGCTGCTGATTGAGAGATCGCTGCGGGTTCTGAAGAAACAAGACCTTGGATTATTAAAACCGTTGTTTTACAAGCTAAACCAATTTGGTGACAAGCAATTTCAGAGTAAGACACTGTTTGGATTTGTCGGATCAGTAATTTTTTTTGCAATAATTCTTTTATATTCACAGCAAGAATTCTAAAATAATACAAGACACAATGTAAAAGTAGGCAAAAGTACATATACATATAAAAAATACATTTCTTCATAATGTTTAATCAATGTAACAATTTTTCCTCTGATGTCAGTTAGGAAATGCAAGCTACTGGATAATGTTAACCAATAGCCAAATAGCTTTAATGGGATTGATTGGCAAACTTACTTTCTGGTATGTAACGGCCACTTTTCATGACCCAATTAATTTTGTGTTGGATAAAAGTCTTTCTTATTGAACATCCTGTCACATCACATTGCAGAAGTAAAATGGCTTGCAAACAGTGATTCACGTTGACTTTGAGCATAAGTATGCCTGATGCCCCGGTTAGATCCAAAAAAGGCAAAAGACAAATCCAGTATTTCACGTAAAGAAGAATCCAAGCCCTGCTGCTTCTTTAAATGGCACAAATGTTGTCAGATTAACCCCCACCTCTAATGAATATCCCTTTTTTCAGTCTTAGGATTTCATGTGCTCATGGACATCATAGTTCGTGTCCCATCTGGGCTAAAGCATATCAGTGTTAAGCTGGACACTAATCTGCCATGGGAGCTTTTGTGTTTCTATTTCTCTTTTGTTTAAACAAAGACCTCTGCGGGAAATGTTCCAGGGCACACATTAGCAATGATTAAACTCGCTGGGCGAATTTGCCCGGCTAAATTGCTTGAAAGACAGAGCTGCAGTGCAACCCTTGCCCTGTTTCATATAATACAGATACACATTCTCTCTTTCTATTTCGCCATTTCTGTCTATGATATAACAGTTCAACGTGGACTGACCTGTGTTTGGCTCTACTGAGAAGTATGGATGACCCTGGCTGATGCTGTAGGCTAGCTTTGCACTGTAGCCAAACATTTCATCGTCTGCATCCTGGGCGGTAACTTGAGTGACATAGGTGCCTGAAAAACAAGAAATTAGTTCAAGATAGAGTTCACCTATAGTCATTATGTACGCTCATGGTGTTTGTTATGACTTTTGTTCTTCAGTGGAAAGCAAAAACGAGGAAATAGGAAGAATGTGCCTGTCACTCTTGTCTATGACTAAGAAATTGAATTTCTGAATGATTCATTCATGAATCGGACTGTTTTGGTTCTCAAGTTCAACTTACTGATTCATTGATCTAGTTTCAGCAGTTAATAGTCCTCCAGGGGAAGATTATCTGTTAATAAAGACTAAAATGACTAAATTTGGATAAAGTTTATAAGCTCTAGTCACCATTTATTAAACTGCATGGACTATAGTGACCTGCACATTCCTCCTTAAGTGTTCACAGAAGAAATAAACTTTGGAGCCAGATGTGGGAGAGTAAATAATAAGACTCGATTATTCCTTAAAGTGAAGATATAACAAGTTACTGTACTAAGCAATAGATTGCTTTGTAATATTTCTACAATATTGATATACTTCATATGCACCCACAAGACATTCAGTGGTTGTTTTTGAAGCTGCCGAATCTTACCAATGTGTGACCTCTCAGGTACGGACGCTGTATAAACCTCCTTGTCAAACTTGGGCTCATTGTCATTGATGTCGTGTAGTTTCACAATAAACTCGGTCTCTGGCTCCAGTGGGACACCGGTCTTCTTGTTGACAGCCTGGGCTCGAAGCGAGTAGAAAGGTTTTTCCTCTCTGTCCAGGCTCCTGGTAGCATGCAGATCTCCTGAGCTGGCATCTATCACAAAGATCGTCCCCGCACCTTCACCTGAGAGAACGTACATCACTGTGCCGTCTCCTTTATCCATATCCGAGTGAAGCTGTTGAGAGGAAAGCAATTCAAGCATTTCATCAGCACCTCCGCTCATTCTGCCGTTGATATGGCTCATGAATATGTATTGCATTCGATATCCTGAATGTATTCAATGTCCGTTGATTTTGAAGGAATAAGACAATAACGAAATACTACAGGGGGAATGTAGCAATAGACAGGTACTCCATGGCAAATATGTGAAAATTAGTCCTTGTGGAATTGAATTTTGATGGCATATCAGATGAACGTACAACACCCTGAATGTGCAATCAAGGTGAATGCCTGTCTATTATGAACAGTGACGGTACCGCATGGTACCTTTTGGTGCAACCACTTTTGTCAGATATTTATGAGGTAATCAAACTTTGTGTAAAGAAAAAAAAAATCTGTGTATAAAGCAGTTTTGAATTTCTGATATTCACTATTGTTACACAAAACGATTAAATTGAGTGATAGGAACATCACATTTTAGAGCTGAAGGTGTGATGTGATTAGCTTTGACAACTACATCTGATAGAGGAGTGAGAGGTTGATTTGACACTTCTTTCCACTTGAATAAGACGCTTTGTTACAGTAAAATAGGGTAGTAAAATACAAAAGACCATTCAAACACAATGGCTCTTATGCTCTACATGATTTTCCCTCTGAACATTATAGAAATGGCTGCTTCTACTCCACACTGACTGCTACATGATCCAGGCACATAATGTCCATAACAACAATGAGAGCTTTGTGAATTCTGCGCTTGCAACATCCCACATGAATAATCCACTGGTTCGTGATCCTTTGCAAGGCTTTCAAGTCTCTGAACCAGTGGTTCGCAGACTTTTCAGGCCAAGTACCACCTGATCAAATTAGAACATCCAAGCACCACAGAGTTAATTCAACTCTCGGCAGTGCAAGTTTAAGTTTATATTTTGAATCCCTATAAAGACCTTTATCAGTTCCTTGACTGGCCTCATGCAGAACAGCCTCTACAAGCACACAGCATGACATAACATGTTATCACACTTGTTAATACACATATGTCACAATCAAATTCAAACTATAGTATACTAAATTATTGTATATTTACTATATAAACTATATAATAAATATTCAATATTGTATAGCATACACTGTTTTGAGGTTTGGGTTGATACGATTTTTAAATATGTTTTGAAAAAATCTCACTAAAACTGCCTTTATTTAATCAAAAATACAGTAAAAATAATAACAGTGAAATATTATTACAATTTAAAATAACAGAATTTTTTATGTAGGCATTATTTTATGGTCCACCGTAAACCAGCTCAATCTCTTCCATCTCAGATAGGGGTATTACTTTATTTTATTTTATTTTTACTTAACTGTTTTTATTTATATTGATTGCATTTACTGAATGAGCACTGTGCCACTGTTTGTCCGACTGTTACTGTACATTTTATTTTCGACACTGTATTTTATTTTTATTATTATGATTTTTTTTTATTCTAAACTGTTTTAATTATTCTGACTTCTTTAATTTCTTCCATGTAAAGCACTTTGAATTGCCACTGTGTATGAAATGTGCTATATAAATAAACTTGCCTTGCCTTGCCTAATTGTATATGTTAAGTTCCCCTATTTTTATATTGAGATTACATTTACATCATTTGATTTTATATATAATAAATATTTAAATTATTATCTTATTATACATTTTTCATTTTGTACATTATAAAGCGTAACATTTATCAGTTTTCACCCATAAAAAGACAACCTGCAATCCACTTATGACTATCTTCAGATTTTTAACACTTGTGTGATATTTCTTATAATTTAAAACACTACCATAATAATATGATGTGTCTTGTGCCCACATGTTCTATTTGTAATTCAATTATTTTTAAAGGAACTTTTTAACAAATTAACAGGTTAATCTAACAATTTTTTAGTGTAAATCCTGAGGTGTGTCGCCTACCACCTGATGGTCACAGTTTGAGACCTTCTGCAATAAGAAACAGTAGCAAGCTGTTAAACTTAATTTTAATCTTTGATCCTCTACAGCTCTGAGCTTCAGATGAAGTGTGAGGTACCAGGGAGGTCAGATTTTCCCCAGCTCCTAATCTCAAATCCAGCAGGCTCTATGCTGGAGATCCCTACATATGACTTGGCCACAGTTTTGTTCATTCTCTATATTTAATAACCTCAGAAGACAGAATTAGATTGAGTGATGAAACCAAATGTATCTGTGCGATCGACTCTATCAACATTACTCCAGCATTGCTCAACATTACACCACATTTATACTCTGAAACACGATCTCTTACCTTGCCAATATATTGGTGTTCGGTTCCTGTGTATTCCTCTTGCAGAAAAAACTGTCTCCACATCCATCCTCTCTTTGAACGTCTGAGCAACTCTTTGTCTTCCTGTCCTTCAATTTCTTTGGTTTTCCTTCGAACCGGCCCTCTCGAAAGGGCAACTGCATTAACAGTTTTGTGTGCACATGCCCACAGAAGAAGTACAATCCAAGTCCTCATCTTTCCCGCTCTTAGGGTGTCTTACAGGGGGATAATGATCCTATCTGCCAAAGTTACAGAGCTCTGCAGTGCAGGCAGCAGCCACCCTCATAGTCCTTCCTGCTGCCAGCGAGCCACACAGTACCTGTAATAAGAGATAGAAAGAAATTGAAAAACAATCAGTTATTGGGCAAAGTCTCACAGTGTTATTCTAAGGCTGCTGGGAATGCTCCCCTTCCTAATTAAAGGCAACTTCCTGTATCATACGACAGCCACCCCCTTATTAAAGATATCTTTGAAACATTCTCCATAAGAATTCTATAGCAAGTCTTGTGGCCGCGGCTCTGATGTCTATATAATTGGCGTCCCACATTCACGGAGTATAAAAGCAGAGGCCATTCGAAGTGCTGCAGCCATCATGATAAAAGGCACAACGGGTTTTTTCCCCACCTAGCCATTAACCCCCGACTTTTAAAATACTGCAAAGCAGGCCAATGGGCGAAATCTCACAAATCTGTAATCAATGAATCAATATGCATGCTCTCTAAATGCTCTGCTTTAAAGATCTAACCACTCACAGTGCTTTTAATCCAGAGTTTTTTTTTTAAACAACAACAACAACAACAACCAATGTGTGTTGGGTTTTATCAGCATGCATGGTCACAATAGCCTGCTGGCTCTGAACTGACCTGCTGGAATGACAGTCTGATAGACAAAAGCTTCCTGCCACCACATAATAATCAGCAATCAGCACGTTTCCTGTTTCCACATCAATCTGAGGCTTTGTCTGCGACTGAACGCCTGCCCTCGCTCCCTCTCGCACTTTATCAAGCAGATTGCAAATGTGATTGCGCAAAGTGGTGAAGGGGAGACGTGGGCCTCTCAATGAATCGCATTTAAGTACCTCTGCTTTTTTGATTTACAATATTGCTAGCGACATTGGCGCACCTCTCTCCGTCAGTGTAAAAATGCATTAGGTCAACATCACCCTTCATCCGGGAAGAGCGACGGTTGAGGGCCAGCGATTCAGATGGAAATGCACAATTGCGATGCCGAATTGACTTTCATACTTCCGTGTATGACTTAAATGGTGCAGCTATTCCCCTAATAGCCTTTTCCATTTGCTCCATTATGTTCTGCTTTATGAATTGGCCTAATTGAATTAGGTAACAATAGATAGCACAGGGTATTGATTTACTGTCAAAGTCAATGAGCCAGAAATTATTATGGTGGGCTCTATGTATGTATAAACATACTGTATGTGTGTGCATGATTCTTCTGCATGATGTGTGCATTTCAGTACAAACGGGGAAGAAAAATGGGAGATGTGAGCCCTGTTATGTCCAACAATTGTAGTTTACGGATGCTGCGCTTTAATGAATTTCAGCCACCCAAAACTCCTGGGCAAAGAGAACGGGCTCCTGGAGCACATTAGTCAAACCCAGGCAGCCATTTTGCTCAGCTCTGTGACCTGGCAAATCCCTTGACACAGTCCTGCCGGGGGAACTCAGCTGGATCTAAAGCGGTTTTGTTACATGGTGTGTCAGACTGAACAGACACAGTTTCCAGCACAAAATGTCTGCTCGTTCATTTACAAGTCCATCCTGCTGGGAGGGAGATGGATAGTGAAGGATAAAAATTCCCCTGCTGTTTTTAAATATAAGCAAAAACCCAAGACAACTCAATGGGACACTATGGTTTCACATAGTGTCTCAAACAGCACTTCATTTTACAGCCTCACCAATGTGTCATTTGATACATGTGGATCCACATCACTACAGAGTCTTAATATCAGTCTTATAATGTGAAAGTCATGATTGAGTACCTAAAAAGAATAACACAAACAAAAATGAATCTATAGTATTTACCCTAATGTTGTTCCAAACCACGGTCATTATCGTAAACTGAAAAAGAAGACAAAAACTATTTTAATATTTTAACTAAAAATAACATCACTGGGAAAACTTAATAAAATATATTTTTCATGACTCTAAATCTAACTAAAATAAAATTGATAATATCTAAACAATATAATATAAATAATATTTTCTTTTATTTTTTTTTTAGCAGCATTCCCTCAAACTCACCATTGCCATTGTGTAAAAGTGTCACTAAAGGGTGATAATGCATATGCCTATTAACCTCATCCTGAATGCAATTTTTATTTAAATAAATGTAATAAGACCTTTGTTCATTTATTTATTTATTTTTGCATTGGAGTGACTTCCAATTTACAATTTAAAATGAAAAAGGGGTAAACATGTTAGTGTTCTATGTTTTTTATGGATTTAGAAAACTTTATGTTGGTTGTCCCTGGTTCTGTTATTATTGTTATTATTAATACATGACTATCAAAGCCCAAATTAAAATGGTAATACTTTTTTGGTAAACTAACCATTAACTTAAAGCTGTAGTGTAATTTTTGTGTGATAACAGTTTTTTTTTGGATAACAGTTTATCCAAACACTCTACCCCAAACTCGCGCCATTGGTTAAGCCAATGTTGCAGTGTCAAACTGGGGCACGTTCAAGTTCAAAACGGTGCGCAACGTTTTGCTACGTTTTCCTGGTTGAACGTCATGTTTCGTGGAAACGGTGTTTGAGATACGTTTTCTTTTGTTTGGTGGGTGTCTCAGAAATGCAGTCCAATCAGCAGCAACATGTATATATCCTAAAGCACGCTGTATCAAAGTGAACTCGCATAATGGGTTTTAAAGAGAAGTAATTTACAAATGTAAATTTGTAAATTAATTTAAATTTGTAAAATAATTTACAAATGTGCTTTTCCTAAAAATGAGAAAGAAAATACAGGGTATTAAAACTACAAATAAAGTCAGTATGTGAGGCTAAATAGATGTGTTTTAGTCTGAATTGGGTAAGAGGATGTGTGGTTCCATTTCAGTTTCCACAAATCCCTTGGCAGTATTGTTGTATTGTTGATGTTCTCGTGTTCTGGGCGGCAACTGCAGTAACTGTAACATCGGGCATATTTTGTTGAATTAAACACATATTTATACCGACTTCAACAGGTTCCGAAAATTCTTCACAAAGAACACAAAGAATGGCCTTCTCAGCTGCCATTGTTACAACTCTTGCGTCATCAGAACAGTGTGTTCAACGTACCACCGTTTCTGTAAAACAAACAAAAAAAAAAAAAAAAAAAAACGTGCAACGTTTTGTCAGGGCTGAACGCAGCCCTGGTGTGGAATCTCAAACGATGCGACCAGTTCAACTTCACTCTTTCCTGAGAAATCAGCCCACATGGAATAAATTACACACAACACCTTTGTTGCACTAGCATGTTTACATTTTTCAAGTTTCAATTAATGCAACGATAAAGTAATTAACTCTCAGGGTGCCTGCCATAAACTGTGCCACGGTTGTCTGCTATCCAAAACACAGACAAAACAAATTAACCTCAATGGCACCTCACTCGCGTCTGCCTGAACGTTATCTGCTTTTGTTTTCAGATCAGGCAATTTACCATGCAGTCTGACCTTGAGACATTACATGTCCTATTTTTATTCTATTTTTTTTTTATTTATTTTATTTTTCTTTCAAAGACACAGTACCCTCAGAGGGCCTTTGGGAACGCGAGTGAAGTGGGGGCTGACAGGTGAGGGAGGAAGAGGAAGACCGGCGACACCTGTGGAGGACGCGGGGAGTCGGTCAGGCGGCAGGAAGTGCCAGAGAGAAAGAGAGAGAGAGAGAGGCGGGGTCCGACCGCGGCCCTCGCTGAAAGCTCTGCCACGCTGCAGACAGCCACAGCAGCCCTGATAAGTCCCACAGGGGCAATTAGGAGTGAGAGAAGGAGAATGTCAGCCACGGGCAGTGAGAAGGGAGGCGACAGGTAACAATTCTTGCTGCAGGAACACAGACCAGCAGAGCAGAGAGAAACAGAGCTAGCTAATGCCACACACTGTCTCCAGGCTCTCTATTAAAATGAATAAGTCACCGGACCACCAGCCATTAACTAGAAAGACTAGACGCCACGGTTTTTAAATAGGTCATTCCCGTTTGCATAGCCAAGGTACATGATATAGCATCTCATGATAGCGATAGCATAAATGTTTGATTTCTCTGAGAAATCTGCAACTCTTTATTTTATTTTTATTTTTTGGCCTCTGCAAAGAAATTCTCATGTAGCTTCTGGCTACATCACATCTTAGTGAAAGCACTAGGAGAAAACTCCCCAGCTAGTACTCATATCTCTCGAGCAAATGGTAGGAGACATGTGCCATGTTTGATTGCGGTTCTCTTCCTACCACTGAGCAACAGTGCATGAGAGGCAAAGTCGAGATCAGGTGAACACAAATTCAGTCAGGGTGGCACACTTAAACAGATTCGAGCTCCTCTTCGGTCCGCTCGGTGCACTTGCCTGCCAAGCAGCGTATCCGTGTCATTCCCCAGGGCATAGCGGGTAATCAATATATATTGATTTGTCTGTTTGGGGGGGGAAAGGGCTGTCTAGACAGCTGGGTTTTCGAATGCTAAGGTATCACTTATCCTGCAACACTCTAGCTCTAGCTCGGCTGTAAGCGATGATTGATTTATTCATTTTAGACATACGTTTTTTCCCCATATCTGACCTACCCTACATTTGCCAGGGCTATTTATACACATCACTTGAGGTATAAATGCAATAACACATTTACCTGATGGCAAAAACGATAAGATGTGAAATAAATCAGTGATACTAAGCAGAAATAAACTGTGCTGTTTTTGCAGCTACAACCTAAGGGACTGGAGTATCATATAACAATACACAATCAACTGATATACTGTTTTTATGATCAATACTGATGGATTTTTTAAGTATCCAATGACTGATATTCCAAACTAAATTTGAAATAGCCTATTGTATTTCTGCTATTTGATGCAAATTAACTAAAACTACAACTACAATTTTGATTATAATTATTATCATGATAAAAATATAAAATTTGTAATAATAATTATTGTTATTATAATAAAAATATAATGCACATTATTTTGCTATAGTACAAACATGTTATTATTTTGATGAAAAAACTACTATATTACTACTAATACTACTAGTCCTATTACTACAATTTTTCATTATTAATCCAAATAATACATACTATTTTTGGGTACTATTCTTTGGAGACTTGCCAAAGAAACCCAA